AAAAAACCTATTGGAGAACACTTTAATCTGCCTGGACACTCATTAACGGATCGCCAAATCACCGTTTTGTTTCAGGCCAATTCCACAAGCCAAATACACAGAGAAGGGTTGGAACTTAACTTCATTCACTAGTTTAATTCTTATGCAAATGGTATGAACCAGGATATTGTCTGGCTCGCACATTATCTTCTACATCCTAAGAACTTAACCAACCAACCCAGCAATGGAGGTAATAATTGTTCTTATCAGCCTCTTGTAACTATTTGAACCATCTACTCACTGTCTCTCTTTTTTTCTCCCCTCCTTTTTCTTTTTTTTCTCTCTCTTTTTTCCTTCTCCTCTCCCCTCCCCTTATTTATTCTTGGATCTGGACTTCTAATACTCCTGTCATCTGAAGAAGTGGGTTACGCCCACGAAAGCTTGTGATACCATCTACATGTTTTGTTAGTCTTTAAGGTGCTACTAGACTATTTGTTGGGTTTTTTTAGTCTTTAAGGTTGTTTTTTAAATTTTTCCTATTATAGACTAACTTGGCTACCGCTCTGAAGCTTTTGAAAATCAAAATAGCATGTCCACACCCAAGGCAGGCTTCATTAATGTGAGTGCGCTACCTCAACTTAGAGCCCCAGGAAGCACTGGGGAGTAGTTATTTCAAAATAGCAGCACTACCACTATTTTGAAAAGAGAACTGCTTCTTTAGATGGGATGCACTATTGAAAAGATGCTGCCTTTGATTCACTGATGATGTAGAAAGATGACCATGGAGGAAAAAACCTCCACATATCCTAGGGAAATTATAATCAAACCAAGGGGAATTTTGTTAGCCAAATTCTGTCCTTCACACTATGAGAGGGAGGAATGGTAACAGATGTTTCCAGAGCCAAGCGGACTATATAAGGTATAATGACTGGGAGGGGCACCCTACAGCGTATTTTGGACCACACCTTATTGCTGCTCCAAAAAAGGAGCAGCCTGTAGTTCCCTTAGTGACTGTCACCAAAGCCAAGCCATGTCCATTGTCCTAAGAGCCTGGGGTCACCATCCAAACTAGCTGGCCATACCCTCTTGGGGATATAGAGTCCTATAGGTGTGTGAGTTGGGACCCATTGCCAAGTACTTAAGGGAACAAGAACATGTTCTGCTATGGTCCTGCATGGGTACACTGTTTGGAGGAGAAGGGTAAAAGAAACTTTTGCCCTCGCCAATATATATGTGCAAATAAGTCAGAATTGTGCCCTCTCTGTTTGACATTTCCATGCAAATGCCAGCATATCATTGGCATCTAAAGTGATAAGACAGGGCAGCACAGGGGGACTCGTAGGATGGAGAACCTTTCACTTACAGACAGGTTATTGGTTCTAGTTACGCTTAAGTCAGTGTCGTCATTGCCATCAGAAGGCTGGTTGGTGACTTCCCGTTCCTGTAGTAGACAGGAGTGTGCATCCCTATACTACCAGCACCATCTGCACAAATTGGCACCCTTAATGGCAGCTTTGCAGAGGTACCAAGAACTAAATTAGCTTTGGGGAATGACCCTCAGAAAGGATCCCTGGAAAACAAAGATAAGGCACATTAAGGAATTGGTGTGTATAGGCTTGTGCTGGAACAGTTGTGTTTGTGTTTAGCCAGATGTATTTATATTCCTGAGCGATCATTCCATCATCTTGCACCAACACTAAATTCATTAAAAAGATGAATTATCCTCTGGAGACTCACTAAGCTTTGTCATATTCTGTGTTAGTGTAGCTACAGATAGGGTACGTCTAGACTGCGGCGGTATTTCGGGATACCAGATTCCGCATCTTTAAAATCAGCCTGTTAATTCTAAATAGATTTTGAAGTAACGGGCTCACTATTCTAACATCCCTATAACCACGAGGGTTAAAGGACGTTTTGGAATAGCAGTTTATTTTGAAATTTGGTGTGGATAGACAGTGCCAAATTTCGAAAGAAGCTATTTCGAAATTAGATCGAAATAAAATACACAATTTGTATAGCTCAAATTGAGTATCTTATTTTGATCTATAGGTGCAGTGTAGATGCACTGATAAGGAGCCAGATCAAGAATAATTTGCTTTTTAGCTATGGCTTTATCCAGTACAATCTCTGTTTAAAACAATCCTTCTCATCTGCACTCTCCCACCTCATTTGTCAATCCTGACTACCTGTCATATTCTGTCTGACACTCAGTCTCCATCCCAACAAATTTACAGTCTGTACTAGGTGCTTGTACAGTGTGGCCTCTATCTTTGGGTTGGATTCCTAAGTGTTGCTACAATAACTAATAATAATAGCCAAAGAAAACAGATAATTGGCCCTTGACATGAACTGGGAAACCTCCCAAGAGTGGTTTGTCTCACTTTTAGTGCGTAGTATGTCTTTCCGTAATTATGATCTGTACTAAAGAAATCTTTCACACATGGTAGCTGGCTTTAATACAAGAACACTGATTGTCAGTGTTCTGTCTATCATTAGATGTAGGCATGCACTGATGCAGAAACATATGTGAGAGACACATTAGTAGGCCAACCTCTTGTTTTGTTCTGAAATGCTCCAATAATCCGATGGCTGTATTATTAATATTAATATGTTGCCTTTGTGGCAAGTATTACTTAATCAGATGCAGACGTGATGAGTGTCAGGAGAAGCAGTTTTGCTGGCCAAAACTAATTATTTGTGCATGCTCTTTTGGCCACAACTCAGTTATAGGCAGTATCTGTACTGCTCACTATAGCCAAGATGAAAAGTTCAACTATTTCATCATAAGATACTACCATTTAAGAGAAAAAGCACCAAATAACGTGTTTTTTTAAAGAACTCTAAATGGATCTGTTGGTGCAAAAGGGCAATTGCACATGCAGCATATAAATCTATGCTCAGGGTCATTTAAGAATGTTCACAATTTGCTGCTTTTGTCCATACTGGCACTGCAGGCTATCACGAAAGGCTGTGTAAACATAATTTAGAAATTTGGGTCAACAGTTTGGTCAACACAAATCAGGCCTAACTTTTGTCACATATTTATGTCTTATGATTTTGTTGCATTTTAGAAAAGAAACTTTGGAAAACTCATGATACCATGACCAACCCATACACTTAGGGTATGTCTACACAGCAGGGCTAAAGCCAAAATAAGCTACGCAACTTGAGACATGACAATTATTATGTAGCTTAAGTCAAAATAGCTTTTTTCGGCTTTTGGCGCTGTCTACACAGCAGGAAGTCCGAGAGAGACACTCTTCCTCCAACTTTCCTTACTCCTTGTAAAATGAGGGTTATAGGAGTTGGAGTAAGAAGTCCTCCAGTTCCCTCTTATTTAGATATTATGTCAAAATAACTGCTTGCAGTGTAGATGCAGATTATGTTATTTTGGAATAATGTCAGTTATTTCGAAATAACACTACCATGTAGGCGTACTCTGAGGGTGCATCTACACTGCACCCTTAGTTCAAAATAATTTGAGCTACGCAAATTGTGTATCTTATTTCGATCTAATTTAGAAATAAAGCGCTATTCCGACAAGTCCCTTAATCCTCGTGGAATGAAGGTTACAGGGACACTGGAATAGTGCGCTTGTTATTTAGAAATCTATTTTGAAATAATGGGCGTGTTTTAAGATGCGTAATAGCTATTTCAGGATACTTTCAGTATCCTGAAATAGCACCGCTATCTAGATGTAGCCTGAGAGACTAAACTACAGAGAAGGTAGCTCATACTTGCAGAATGATCTGACGGGATCAGAGATATAAGCAGAGAGATGATATGAAAAACCAAAGATAATACACGAAGGAAGAATTAATGACCTGCTTCAATCAAAAGAGGAAATAGCTGTTTTGAAAGCAATAATGCAGAAAAGATCAGGGGAATACTACATGGGATATGAACTCAAAAATGTGAAGGAAGAGAATCTATTATACGACAAAGGAAGTAACTATGCTATTTTACAAAGCACTATTAAAACCACACTTGGTAAATACGGGATTCTAACCTGGAGAAAAATACTATTCTATTTCTACAGTACAACATAGAAGAAAAAGGGATACTTTTTTCTAGTGCTCAGAAAACTAAAATTATGAGAGACACAAGTCCTAACAAGGGAAAAATGTAATTGATATGAAAAGGGAATTAAATAAAGGGAATAAATGGACCAGTGAGGATATTGAGTCAGCAGCATTAGAGATTTTCAGAACCATGACTGGAGGAAATCTTAGTGGATCAGGGAAGAGGGAGCCTGAAAAGTTTTTTTCAAAATTAATATTTATGACTCTAAGATGATCATCATGTGGGGAATGCAAATCCATCTCAAGCTACAAACTTTTATGTATAGTTTTCTTTTAAAAATAGCCTTAAACTTTAAAACATCATTAGAATGGATAAAGCCACCCAAAAGACAATTTGCTCCTGATTTCACTTTACAAATACACTGTACAATATTTCAGTTAGGAGCAATCTATTGAATTTTATAAATATCCTATAAAATGGAATTTATAATAGAAATGCCAACAGTCCCTTAATTTTTATGGATTTAATTGGAATCATTAGGATTTCAGGAACATTAATGTAGCGTAGGTTAGGTAGAGTAGGAGACAATCCAAGTTCCTAGATTCTGTTCTCCGTTCTGGAATAAACCCTCCATATGATTCTGGGCAGGTCACTTAACCTCTGTGTGTCTGTTTACTCATCAGCAAAATGGGGATAATGATGCTTCTAATATTGGTAGTAATTAGCACATTAGACCAGAGATTCTGGAAGGCTTAGCATTGGATGAGTGAAACTGACATGATTCTTGACTGCTTTACAACTGTCACCCATCATATAGCAACAATTTAATTCAGCGACTCCTAGGATCCTGGGAAGAATATTTTATTTTTTCATCTGGTTCAGAATCAGACTGAAATCAGATCTTGAAATATTGACATTTAATGTGAGCCTGAACTTCCAAGTTTCAGCCAACACTAATTAGGACTTCAAAGGTATTTAGTAATATCAGTGCTTAATACCTGGATGATGTGGCCAGAGCAATTAGCAAGGCTTGAAGAATCCCTCTGATGAAAACAATGGGATTCTTCTTGGTGATAAAGAAGTACATCATTGGCAGAATGAACAGTCCATGAACCACCAGACCACAAACCACAGTAATGGCATAAAAGCCCAGCTTCTTCCCAATAGCTGTAGGGTCATCCATTTCCAAGATCTTGCCAGCAATAAGAAACACTATTCCAAAAGGGAAATACCTAAATGAAGAGGGAGGGAGATTTATCACTATGCGACAGATCACTTCCATTAAACAATGTACACTAGTGAGATGATAAGTTCCTGTACTTTCATTTCAGTACAGACTTAAGACTCAACCTTACAGTGTTTAAAAAATAGAATTTAGTCAGAATTTCACAGGAGTACCTTACAGGATTGGAATCTTATTCCTTTTCCATTAACAAGTTCTGGGAAAATGCTTTTATATCAAGTAATTAGCAGTAATACCATTTTCTACTTACTGGCCAGTAGGACACACAGAGCACACTTAAATAAAATTTGCTAATTAAAGCACTATATGTCTAATCTCTCCCTCAATGTATGCATTTTAAGATTCCTATCACTATAATATTTAAGGCTAGATCCACAAAGGTATGTAGGTGCCTAAGTCTCAAGTTTAGGTGCCTAAGTTCCAGTTTTGATCTACTATGACCCACAAAACTATCACTCAATCTTATAGGTGCCTAAATTCATCTAGCGCCTAAGTTTTCAAGGTACAAGTTCCTTAGATACCTATTTTTCTGCCTCTGGGCATAGGCACTACTGCCTCACTCTTGGGTCTGATTGAACACCTCTCTCCTGCCTAAGCCTCAGAGTGATTCACAAACTAGGCACTTAGACATGTGAGATGTATACAGGAACTGATCCAGAAGGCATGGTCAGAGGCTGCTTGCCAAACAGGGTTCCATTTGGAATCCAACAGGAAAAGGTGGCACATTGTAACTTTGAGCCTTGGGGGTAATTAATTCACCTGTGATATGAGAGACCCAGTTCCATTCTTCTCTCCCTGGATTTGAACAGAGGTCTATGCCCTCTCAGGGGGCTGCTCCAACCACTGAGCTATGGGATATTGAAGTTGCACACAGGGTCTCTTGTTGAAGATGTTCCAGTGTGGATAAATAAGGAAACAGTGACTGGAGCAGGAGGAGTGGACCGAGGTATCCCACCTTGCAGGTGGGTGCCCTGATTACGGAGTCCTTCTCTCTCTCCTTATGACTATTTAAGTATTTATCCACAATGGAAGAGTCGTGGGGTCAGAGAGAGGTGGGAGACCCCAGTTCAAATTCTACTGCTCCTCTAGCAGAAAGGGGGAAACTGAATCTGGGTCTCCCCCATTCCCTGAGAGTGCTCTAATCTCTGAGCTAAAAGTTACAAGGTGGGCACTACCACCTGTTGCTGCTGCAGGGATACTTTCCTACTCCCAGTAGTGCAGGGGACTGGACTAGATGACCTCTTCCAGTCCTGTGATTCTAGCGTTGTGACTTATGAGGCTTAATTAACGTGTATAAAGCACTTTGAGACCCTCAGACGGAAGGTGCTATACAACTACAATGTATTTTATATAGTAGCCGTATTTACTCATTACTAAGAATGTTCACAAGTGCTTATGAGTCATTCTTAAATTAGGGACATAGACGTAAAGGGGGAACTCTACTTTAAAAATCTTCCCATTTAATTTTAATAGCATCCCAGAATTTGAGAGCAGCATTTTAGGGATAAAGCGATGGCAGAGGTGAACTGAGCTTTTGTCGGGCCTTGGGCCAAAGCAGTTGGAGGTGCCTCCCCACACTTCCACCTGTATTTCTCCCGCTCCAACGCTCTTGCCGGAGAATGAGCTCAAGGCACAGTGGCTTCCTCTGCCCGCCTGGTGCAAGCCCCCATACCTTGACCCTACTCCCTAGCAGGATTGCTGGGTGGGCAAAGCAAGTTGGATCAAGGGGGCACCCCACATGGTTAGGGCTCCTGGGCCTGGGCCCCATTGACTATGGGAGACGCAAGAGCCAAATTGCAAATATAAGGGTATGTCTATACTGCAATTAAACATCTGCAGCTGTCCTATGCCAGCTGACTCAGGCTTACAGAGATTGAGCTACGGGGCTGTTTCATTTCAGTATAGACATTCAGGCTTGGCTTGGAGCCTGGGAGCTAGGACCCTGAGAAGTGGGAGAGTCCCCAAGCTTGGTCTGTAGCCTGAATGTCTACACCGCAATTAAACAGCCGTGTATCCTGAAGCTGGCAAGGACCAGCTGTGGGTTTTTAATTGTAGGGTAGACATACCCAAAGTTTTATTTCATCGAGCCAAAGGCTATTAGATGTATTTTGATGGCTTTTCAGAGAATATCCAGTGGGGAGTGGCCCCTTCCTTTCCCGCCCGTATTAGAATGCTTTTGTTAAACAGTGGAAGGATTTGAAAAGTTCTAAGAGCTGAAACTTTTTACAGTTTTGCATGTTCTTCAGGATCTTCAGAGTAATGGATATTTCTAGTAATCTAACTTCAGATCTGCTCATCTATGGGATAAACTGCATAAAACAGAGAACCAGATCGTTAGGTCTGTTGGGTTACGTCTACACTGCCATGCTATTTCTGGATACTCTAAATAGCTATTCCACATCTTTTGAGCACACCCATTATTTCGAAATATAACAGGCTCGCTATGCCGATGTCTCTGTAAACCTCGTTCCACGAGGAGTGAGGGATGTTTTGGAATAGTGATTTATTTCAAAATAAGTGCTGGGTGGACAGCACCAAATTTTGAAATAAGCTATTTTGAAATTAACTTGAAATAAACTATGCAATTTGCGTAGCTCAAATTGCATAGCTTATTTCGATCTCCGGGTGCAGTGTAGACTCATCCTCAGAGTTGTGCCCAGCATGGGACCTGGGATTGGGAATGAAGTTGGGCCATTCTTCTATTGTACTTGCTTGTAACACCACAACTGCAGCTGTGACACATGCACTAGCCATTTAAAGACAAGTGAGCTTCCAGCCACTGTGACCCCTGGTCAAAAAGTATACCAGACAGGGAGGAACGTAGTTGGGATTGTAGTGGAATGAGTTTTTACCAGAACAGCTATTTCTGTGCCAGACTACATCCATACTTCTATTGTGTTGATATAACTATGCCCGTAGTGGATTTGCACTGCTCCAGAATGGAAAATAGCCATTTTGTAAGAACTGAGTGTTATTTCTATAGGGCTGTGTCTAGACTACATGGCTCCATCGATGGAGCCAAGTAGATTAGGGTTGTAGGCAAAGGGAAATGAAGCGTCGATTTAAATAATCGCCGCTTCATTTAAATTTACATGGCTGCTGCGCTGAGCCGACAAACAGCTGATGAGCTGTTTGTCAGCTCAGTGCGGCAGCCATGTAAATTTAAATTAAGTGGCGATTATTTAAATCGCCGCTTCATTTCCCTTTGCCCAATAAACAAATCTACATGGCTCCGTCGACGGAGCCATGTAGTGTAGACGTACCCTAGGAGACAGACATGAGTGTGGATGTGTGCCTGGCTCTTCTAAGTCTTAATTCTAATGGACTAACTTTTGTTAGACCAGATCTAAGCTATTTTTCCATTCTCCTGATCTGGGGTCAAACTAGCCCCCAGTTTAACTTATGGCCATTCTGAGGCTTGTCTCCATTTACTAGGAGATCAACACTGCAAAGATTGAACTCCAAGGAATCAATTTAGAGGGTCTAATGAGGACCCGCTAAATCAACTGCTGATGGTGTTCCCATCAACTCTGGTATTCCACTGGATCACGGGGTGTAAAGGAAGTCAACGGGAGAGTTTCTCCCATCAACCTTCCTCAGTGAGGAGGTGACGGAAATTCGACCTAAGGTGCATTGATTCCAGCTCCGCTGTTCATGTAGCTGGAGTTGCGTATCTTAGGTCGACTTTCTCCCCAAGTGTAGAACTGGCCTAATTTATGTTGGCTAGAGTGATCCCTTAGGGCCTACTTTGCTGCTGGGGATTGCCAAAGGGGCATGCACTGTGATTCTGTCCCTTCATATTCCTGGCCACACCCCTGACCATGCTGTCTGCACCTGGAATCAATGACATAGACCCAAATATACTGTTTTACGGTACCCGGGAATTCCTCTTTCTTAGGGAAATCCCTGGGATCTGTGTGAGGCAGCTCTCTGTGTTCTTTATGCCGTTTGAGTGGTGCAAAGGGGACAGAGCCAGGGACCAACATCTGGCCTGGAATATTTGCATAACTTCCGTCGAGTACTAACCCTATACAAAGCTGAGGTTGTTGTCCCTCATGAATTTGCCTGGAAATAAGATTACATCACCTCAGAGCATTTTTTTTCTGTTGAAATATACTTCAACTTTTTAAAAGTAATGTTTTTGTTCTTGATAAAGCAGCTACTTACCACACAGAAATTGCCACTATCTTCATGACAGATTCATTTAAACACTGGCAAAAACTGACCAAGGGAACTCCACTGTTACCCATTCTGCCCAACATTAAACCTGCAATCAAACATACTGTTTTAATTCTCATTTACTTTTGAAAATCCCCAACACACTCCCTCTCTACTGCAGTTCAAAATGAGCTAAGTGGGACATGGTAGATGGGTTAGATAATTGATAGTGGCATAGTCCAACAAATCTCAATACTACAGAACAGAGCTATAACACTTAAAGGGAGTGGGGGACAACCCTTGGTTCCTCAGTTTCACAAACAAGGACTTCTACCACTTTCAAGCTAAAGAAGTCTTTGAGTTCTCACTAGTAAATCCCTCTCCTTCTGTGCACCATCCACTAGAGTAGTGGTAGAGATGTAGCCGTGTTAGTCTGGGGTAGCTGAAGCAAAATGCAGGACAATGCATCCACTAGAGTTTTAAAATAGGAGCCTTTTTCTTTTGGCTCACCTATTCAAACCCACCTGAGATTGGCAGTGACCAAAAGCCATTATCTCAATGGTGTGAAATGAATATGGTTTCAGTCCAGTTTCTAGTGGATAGGATAAAAGCCACTCGCACAACTGTCCTTCTTGCCACCCTGGTTTAGCATACTTAGCAGAATCAAGCAAATGCACTTGAATACAAGAAAGGGCCAAACTGCTGCACAAGGCTAATCAGCAAACAGTTGTAGCAGAAGGGAAGCTCGTTCCAAGAAAAGTTATGTAACTAAAGCTTTGCTGTATAGTGCTGACTTTTAATAACGTATAACTAATAATAAACATATCAGTCATGTTTCTGTTTAACTAATTTGCTGAAGCGATTCCCTGTGAGAACTGTAATGCATCATGTTAATCAAGTAAGGAAGCATTTTAGAAACAAACAGCCCACCAAATCAGTGTATGTTTGAAGAGGATTGCACAAGAAAATGAAGCTGAGTGGGGTTCACTCTCACACTTATTCTGGCTGGACAGTGTGTTCGCTTTGACTGAGGGCCCACGCTCTGTCACTTGGAGCACACATCTGTGTTTGCAGGCCAAGGCCCCAAATTAAAGCAATCCCCTCCTGATGTGGGGGAGTGAGCCACTTAGCTGTCAGACCCAACAATTTCACAATAATAGTGCATGCAGGAGGTGGGTTTATATGCCAGTTAACAGTCACCTAGTTGTAAATTTTTGTTTACAAAACCACATTATATTTTATTTACCATGTTGCTCATTTAAGGTGACAGAATCTTAATGACCAATTCAGTATTTTAAGACCGGTTGACTTTATTAAGCCATAGTAGCTTTACAAGAGTTTTCAATTTCTAACTTAGTAGCATGCTGAAGAGGGGAAATGGATCCCTTCTTATATTACAGAAATAACTGATTTGCTTACTCTTTCACATCTGAGTCTATGGCAAGTGCTGGCAACAGGAGAGATAGCAGGCAAGATTGAAGCCTGCTGAATGACGAGTATATAACTCACTGGTCTCTTAGGCTGCGTCTACACAGCTGGGCTTAACTCAAAATAAGCTATGCAAATTGAGCTACATTAATTGCATAGCTTATTTCGAAATTGGGAGCGTCTGCACAGCACTTATTTCGAAATAGAGCACTCTTCCTCCGACATCCCTTACTCCTTGTACAATGAAGGTTACAGGAGTTGGGGTAAGAAGTCCTCCAGCTTGACAGTATTTCAACATTATTTCAAAATAACTGCCTGCTGTGTAGATGCGGACTAAGTTATTTTGAAATAACTCTAGTTATTTCGAAATAATGTTGCTTTGTAGACATACCCTTAAAGAAGTGTTTTTCAACCAGTGGTATGTGTAGACAGAAAGAAAAATTAGCAGCACCGGGGTTGATACACAGCTGAGCAGTTCTGATTCTATCTAGGAGAAAAATGTAGTACAGTACTTCTAATACACTAGCCTGTTTCTGACCACGGCTGGATACCAGAAGCTTCAGAGAAAGGTGAAGAAACCTTGCAATACATAGTAACAGGATAATTGTGCACAGGAAGGTTTCTTCTGGACTCCCTTCAGTTAGGGTTTGAAATATGCCTTGAAGCATGAAGATTTATATCCCTTTCCAGACCTTTTTAAGATTGTTTTATCTTTAAATAAGATTACATCACCTCAGAGCACTTTTTTCGTATTTTAAGGTTTTATTATTACGAATGTAAGTCCAGATGTATTTGTTAGCAGTACAAATATACATGTTTAATCCTGCTAAATGCTTGCTTAAGAGATATCTTGGGCCATTGAGTTCCACAGGGCAATTATCCATCGTGTGAAAAATAATTCCTTTTATTTGTTTTAAATTTGCAGTCTTTTGCTTTCTCGCAATGTCCCATGGTTTAGTTTTACTAGTACGTAGCTACTTACATTGAACTATGGTACAATCTCGGAGGTTTATCATAATGAACTTTGAGATCTCTTATCTATTTAGAATGTTCAGTTTTATCAGTCCACAAATTTAATAGAACCCTTTGTTATCTAACTGCAGTAAGTTTCTCACTGGGCCACAATTTGAGTCAGAGGGAAGTGAATTTTACGCCCTCCTTTAGGCCTGTCCAGGTTTTTTTATGAGAATAAAGTGATGATTTTCACATAGAGATCCTAAGAAAAAGAATCCCTTTATCTGTGTTTATGATACTGTGTTTGACAGGGAATTTGTGCAGCAGATAAGGTTCCACAAGCACCTTCGATTTTACTTATTTTCTGCGTTGTTTGAATTAGCAAGAGGGGTGAAAATTCCAGCCTGTCAGTAGCACATTTGTGGAATGCCACCTGCATCCTTGCTGGAAATTTGAGATCCCCTAATTTTCACTGATTTACACTCAACTCTCAAAGCATCATGTCATATCCACCAATCATAAGGCCTGCTAAGGATTACTAGACCGGAGTCTCTTCACTACTGGTGTTCGTGAGATTAAAGGGGTTGCATATGTTTTTGAGCCATACAGACTATTTCTCTATTCCCTAGAACTGAGTATGCTATCTCCATAGTGCTTCCAATTGCTGCAGATTCATGGATCAGGAGGCTAGGAGCAGAACCTTTGTCTCCGAGTAGGCATGCAAAGCATAGCCAGTAGGCCACTGGGCAAACTTATAACCATGTTAGCTATCAACAGGACTTTAGATAAACGTTCACATCTTGCCATAGGCCGGTTGATCAGTTCTACCAAGGCAAAGGATGACTGGTGGTTATGTCAAATTCTCATGGCATAGTTACAGTACCAGAGGGAACTTAGGCAGGTAATCCAATTATTTCACAGTTGTAATTTTGGTGATGAGCACATGTTGTGACATTCCTGAAGCCAGGGATGGATGGTACCAAAGAGCCTCAGGCCTATATCACTTCTACAAACTGTACGAACTGTACTCATCCTATCACCACTCATTGAAAAGCACTTACAAGAAAGCTGGATTCCGCCCAGGCAAGTCATGCACAGGTCAAGTGCTGAATATCACTCAATGCATCAGAGAGCTTTGAAAAGGGCATGGTAACAAGTACCATGTTGGTCGACCTCTCAGCAGCATACGACACAGTGAATCACTGAAGGCTCCTTACTCAAGAATACAACATGATGAATGATCACACGACTGATACAACCCCTTCCAGAGAACTGATGTTTTACATTGAACTGTGTGGGAAGCAGACTCAATGGCAGCAAAAGAAAAACAGCCCACCAAAAGGAAGTGTACTCTCACTAATACTTTTCCGCATCTATTCAAATGATCAACCAATCCATCTCAGCTCAAGTTTTAACTGTGCTATCTATCCCATGCATCACTGCCCAAACCAAGGAGCTTGCCCCGTGCTAACATTGGCCCTGTCTCGGCTCTCAGTCTGCTTCCATAATAATCAATTACATGCCAACCCCGCCAAAATGCAAGCCAGTCTCTTCCAACTTTGGAATAAGGAGACCAATAAACAACGTGACATCATCTGGAATGGGGTATCATTTGTCCGATGCTGGTATCCTGTCTATTTGGGGTGACATTAGATCTCACTTTCTCCTTCAGAGTGCACATAGAGGAGAAAAAAAAAGGCAAAGTTAACACTCAGAACAACAGACTTAGGAAGTTTGCAAATTCAAAATGGTGAACCAGCCCAGTAGCATTAAGCCACCATGCTTGAACTTTGCTATCCTAATTGCATCAGAACTGCTCACCAATATCTATCTGTCTGCAGATATGGTGCACATAGCTCAAAATACTCAACTAGGACATAAAAATGCATGTTGATTTTGCTGAACACATTGCTGCAGGTGCAGAAAAGGGTTGATTGGCCTGACAAGTTGAAATTGCCTCTGAGTTTGGAGGTCAAAAGTCAATATGCAGAAGTGGGGCTATTCTTATGACCCAGGCATGTGATCTCAGGGAAGCACAAACCTCTGTTGGTCTGTCACCTCCAGGAATAACTATGTACCGTGGAAGTTCTTAAAAGCTTCAGGCCAGTCATATCATGTGCTCATCGCTTTATAAACCTATGATTATGATGGAAGGACAGGAGAAGAATTATATATGTGCATTAACGGTTCTTTTTTAGACCATGTCAGATTGGTGACTCTGGAAACAGAAGATGCTGCTGCTTAAGACTTATGTATTATGCGTTTAGGACAGGGGTGGGCAATAATTTTGATGGGGGGGCCACTCCAAGAATTTGGAAAGTGGTCAAGGGCTGCACTCTTCCATAATAATGGAGGAGGTGTGCGGTCTGGGATGGAGGTTGAGTGCAGAAGGGAGCTTGCAGCAAGGGATTGGGGTGCAGGAGAGGGTGTGGGGTCTGCGAGGGAGTTTGGGTGAAGGGGGCAGTTGTGACCTGGGTTAGGGGACTAGGATGCAGGGGTTTGGGTTGCGACCTTGGGCTAGAGGGGGTTGTGACCTGAGGAAGGAGACGAGGGTGCAGGAGGAGGTGAAGGGGTTTGGGCTGCGACCTCAGGCCGGAGAATGTTGAGGCCTGGGCAGGGGATTGCGGTCCAAGATCTGGGAGGGGATATGGGGGCAGGAGAGGGCAGGGGCTTTGGGTTATGTGGGGTAGGGGGAACAAAGGGTTGGGGTGCCAGAGGCTTTTCAGC